AGTTATATGTACTAATCTTAAAAACAGTACATTTCTGGTTTTGAAGGGATGCACACTCATGAAAAGTTTTAGAGTACAGAAAAATATGCGACAAAGAAAATTAGAAATCACCAGGAGCCCCTTAAGAGAGAACATTTTAATGTATTTTACTCATCTTTTTAAAGGATAACTGAGACTAGTTTACATAGTACACATTTTCTTACCTGCACAGGAATACCCATAGGTGTTAGAAGAGGGCATAGACAGGCTTGGTGCGGTGGCTCACGCCTTTAATCCCAGCACTTTGAGAGGCTGAGGCAGGCGGATTGCCTGAGGTCAGGAGTTTGAAACCAGTCTGGCCAACATGGCGAAACTTTGTCTCTACCAAAAATACAAAATAGCCAGGTGTGGTGGTGTGTGCCTGTAATCCCAGCTACTCGGGAGGCTGAGACAGGGGAATTGCTTGAACTAGGGAGGTGGAGGTTGCCATGAGCCGAGATTGCACCATTGCACTCCAGCCTGGACAACAGAGCTGAGGGGAAAAAAAAAAAAAAAAAGAAGGGGGCACAGAGATATAATTATAGGTTATTAGTGTTTCCAGCTAACCACCACCATCCTCCCAGATTCCATCACAAAACAACAGTCCAAGTTATTTAAAGGTCAGAGATCCAAAGATCCAGATCACCCAAGTTCTTTGGCCATAAAAGCAGGCAGCAGATGATGCTTGATACAGTTTGGCTCTGTGCCCACCCAAATCTCATGTGGAATTGTAATCCCCAATGTTGGCAGAGGGGCCTGATGGGAGGTGACTGGGTCCTGGGGGTGAATGTCCCCCTTGCTGTTCTAGTGACAGCGAGTTCTCTGGTTAAGTGTGTAGCACCAACCAGGCGCAGTGGCTCACCCCGTAATCCCAGCATTTTGGGAGGCGGAGGTGGGTGGATTACGAGGTCAAGAGATTGAGACCATCTTGGCTAACACGGTGAAACCCCATCTCTACTAAAAATACAAAAAATTAGCCAGGCGTGGTGGTATACGCCTCTGGTCCCAGCTACTTGGGAGGCTGAGGCAGGAGAATCACTTGAACCTGGGAGGCAGAGGTTGCAGTAAGCCAAGATCACACCATTGTACTCCAGCCTGGGTGACAGAGTGAGACTTTGTCTCAAAAAGAAAAAAAGTGTGTCGCACCTTCCCCTTCTCTCTTCCTCCTGCTCCAGCCATGTAGGGTGTGCCCGCTTCCTCTTCTCCTTCAGCCACGATTTTGTTCCCCAAGGCCTCCCTAGTCACGTTACCTGTACAGTCTGTGGAACCCTGAGTCAATTAAACCTCTTTTCTTTATAAATTACCCAGTCTCAGGTATTTTTTTCTTTTTGAGACAGGATCTTGCTCTGTTGCCCAGGCTGGAGTGTAGTAGCATGATCTTGGTTCACTTCAACCACCGCCTCCCGGATTCAAGTGATTCTCCTGCCTCAGATTCCTGCGTAGCTGGGAATATAGGCATGTGCCACCATACCTGGCTAATTTTTGTATTTTTAGTAGAGACAGGGTTTCATCATGTTGGCCAGGCTGGTCTCAAACTCCCGACCTCAAGTGATCTGCACGCCACAGCCTCCCAAAGTGCTGGGATTACAGGCGTGAGCCACCATGCCTGGCAGGTATTTCTTTATAGTAGTGTTAAGAATGAACAAATAGTCTATAGCTCTGTTCGTATGGAGAAAAGAAAGTCTTTTGAGATCTACTTCTCCCTCCAAATCTGGACTAAGTGCTGGAGCAGCTTGGCACCAACTGTGGTTTCAAGAGCTGGGTGAGTCTCAAGATGACAGGTGGGACACAAGAGCCACATGGCTGCAGCTGGGACAGAAGTCACAGCCAAGAGAGGAGCAGCTCAGGAGAGCCCCAGGACCACCTTCCACCAGGAGCCGCCGGGGCTGAGCCTGGGCCTGAGAACAAGGCGCGAGCAGCAGTCCTGTAGATACCGCCTGACTTGTCTTGTTTTTTAAAACGTTTGAAATTACATCATATATATTCATAATAGACAACTCCAATCTAAAAACAAAATAAAAATAAGGAAATTGAAATTGCTCATGACCCTGCAGGCATGTGGCATCAAGAGAAGCTGCCCACCGCTGGCCAGGGTGTGCCAAGGCTGAGCGCCCGCCCTGTGGGTGTTGGGAGTCTCCGTCCTATGCGGGCACAGCGACAGTACTTACTTGGAGGATCACTGGGCCGTGAGAGTACTTACTTGGAAGGTTACTGTGAGGAGCACATAAATTAATAACTGCAAAGTACTTTACTCAGCATCTGATGTGCAGTAATTGCTCAGCAATGTCACCCCCTCACATTTTGGTTAGGGGTTTTTCCAGTGTATCCATGATCACACTGTACATGGTTGATACAGTTTGGATATTTGTGTGCCCTCAAATTTCATGAAGAATTGTAATCCCCAGTGCTGAAGGTGGGGTCTAGTGGGAGGTGTCAGGCTCACGGGGGCAGAGTTCTCATGAATGGCCTGGGCCATCCCCTGGGTGATGAGTGAGCTCTGGCTCTGAGTTCATGGGATATCTGGTTGTTTAGAAGGTGTGGCACCTTCCCCCATCCCCCTTTTCCACCATGTCAAGTGCCTGTTCCTGCTCCACCTTCCTTCATGAATAAAAGCTTCCTGAGGCCTCCCCAGAAGCAGATGCTGGCACCACACTTCCTGTACAGCCTGCAGAACTGTGAGCCAATCAAACCTGCTTTCCCACATATTACCCCGTCTCAGGAATGTCTTTATAGCAGTGCGAGAGCAGACTAGTACAACTGTTTTCCTGTACTAACCACAAAACACCCTCCCTGTCACTCACCCTTAGGAATTGTTCTGGATTAGGTGCCCTTGTGGGGGACGCCCCAGCCCCTCCCTAGCCAGGACGTGCTAACCTTTACAGCCATTGCTTGGGTACTGTCGCCCCACTAGACGGCAGGCAGGGACCGGGCCAGCCCTCCGCACTCAGAGGTGCTGCCAGTCCACGTGAGCAGGAGGCGCCCCGCTCTGGGGAGGAGCTGCACTGTAGAGAAGACACACTGTGCAGTCAGGCACACAAATCTACCCAAGTTATGATAAGCACTTTCAAGTACAAGGGTCGGAGGAGAGCCGATGGTTCTAACCAGCGAGAGGCATGGAGAGGAGTCTGCAGACCGCCCAGCCCGGTGCGGGCTCCTGCTTCTTGTCCACCACCAGCATCGTCCTCGTAACCCCTCCTCAGGGTAACCGTCCAAAACTAGAGTAGGAGTTGCAGTGGCAGCAAGGACACCCCAGCTTTGCCCAAACTGCCCTGCCACTGACCCACCAGGACAAAGCTGGCTTCCCACATTCAAGTAGTTTTGGGTGGTTTTTTGGTTGTAAATAAGCTTATTTTTCTGTATTCCACCCATTCCAAGATGCATTTTCCTTCCATTTCAGTATCTTTGAGGTCAGGGTGTATCTTAGATGAGGGGCACAAACCTCCCCGGCAGCATTCTTCCCTTAGGGGAACACACCACAGTGGTCACGCTACAGTGAAGGACGTCTCAGACAACATGAGACACGGTTGCACCAGATCAACTAGTTCATTACCACTTGAAGCTTTTGTTTCATGCTTACAAAGCCCTTCTTCGTCCCAAGATTACATTGTTTTCATTTCCTTTTATATGATTTGCCTTTTTTAACCTTAAATATATGACATGTCTTCAATTTATTTTAGTGTAAGGACTAAAGAATTGGCTTTCCTAAATAGCTCTTTGTCTCGGATTTAATATGCCACCTTTATCACAGCAAAATTCCCAAATGTACTCAGCCTATTTCTTACCTATCTTCTATTACTACGTCAATCTCACAATGTATTAATTATAACTGTTTGATGCCAGTTTCATCAGTATGCAGTTACAAGAGGCAGCATTTTGTGCACATTAAAACGCCAATTAAATTAACACACACCATAGACTAAGAAATATCACAATCTCAATGATGCAAAAATGGTAGAAAATGCACAGCTCTCATCAATGCACTCCCATGTGGCAGGTGGGACAAGCCATCTTGGTCACTATTCTTCTTTAGAAGTTTCCTGATTGTTATGTTTATTTTCCCAAATAATTATTTGAGATGGGAGTCTCACTCTGTTGCCCAGGCTGGAATGCAGTGGCATGATCTCGGCTCACTGCAACCTTTGTCTCCCAGGTTCAAGCGATTCTCCTGCCTCAGCCTCCCAAGTAGCCGGAACTATAGGCAGGCACACGTTCAGCTATTTATTTTTAGATGGAGTTTTGCTCTTGTTGCCCAGGCTGCAGTGCAATGGTGTGACCTCGGCTCACTGCAACTTCTGCCTCTTGGGTTCAAGCAATTCTCCTGTCTTGGCCTCCAGAGTAGCTGGAATTACCAAGCCTGGCTAATTATTTGTATTTTTAGTAGAGACAGGGTTTCACCATGTTGGCCAGGCTAGTCTCCAACTCTTGGACCTCAGGTGATCCACCTGCTTCGGCCTCCCAAAGTCCTGGGATTACATGTGTGAGCCACTGCACCCGGCTTCCAGCTAATTTTTGTATTTTTTGGCAGAGATGGGATCTCGCCACATTGCCCTCGCTGGTCTCAAACTCCTGACCTCAAGCGATCCACCTGCCTCGGCCTACCTGAGTGCTGGGATTACAGGTGTGAGCCACCATGCCTGGCCCCAGATAATTTTTAATTTGGCAAGTCACTACCACACAAAAAAATAACGTTTTAGTTAGTATTACATTGAATTTTCAAACAAACTTACAGAAAATTATACCAAGGAGTTTTATAGTTAAAAAGTAAGTCTTTTCTTCCCCTTAGAAAGTATCCCAAAATGTACAACCTCTGCCACAGATTTCATGCCAAGAAAATTAGTATTGCTGTCTCATGGGCTAAAAAGAACACAGAGAAAGAGAAAAGCTTTCTGTAGTAACAATAAATGACATGAACCTCTGTATCTTTTGTAGAAAAGGAAAGATTCTTGCTATGGACTGAATGTTTGTGTTTCCTCCAAATCCCTAGGGTGAAATCCTAACCCCTAAGGGGATAGTCTTAGGAGGTGAGGCCTTTGGGAGGTGATGAAGTCATGGGGGTGGGGCCCTCACGAATTGGATTAGTGCCCTTATGAGAGATGTTCACCGTCTCTGCCACATCAGGACAGTGCAAGGCAGCGCCCCTCTACAAGCCCAGGAAAAGAGCCCTTCTTCAGGAGTGGGATAGGCTGGCCCTGTATCTCGGAGTTCCCAGCCTCCAGAACTGTGAGAAATAAGATTCTGTTGTTTAAGCCCCCTGTCTACATTATTTTTGTTACAGGAGCCTGACCTTAGTACAGGCTGTAGGATGTAAAGAGAAAAGTTAGCTAATTTTAAGTTCATTTACAGCTATTTCCAGTCATTATCTTTCTCATACCAAAAATCTCATGGAGATAGTTTAAACCACAAACAAGAACTGAAATTATAAGAACAAGGACATGAAGTCACATCACTTCTAAGTGATCAGGCCATGTACGTCAGTGAGAACACCCTGGGCTGGGGAGATCTGGAGGCTGTCTTTTCCCTCTGCTGCAGAAGCAGAGGCACATCAGTTACTCAATGTCATTTTCAAAGCATCTCACCTGAGCAGCAGCAACAAACTCAAATCCCTGTCTAAAAACACAGCAGAGGCTCCAGCCACAGGGAACACTGGCTTGTGAGGATACTGAGAGCCCTTGCAGGTTCCAGAGCTCCAGTGCCCACCTGTGCAGGGCCAGGCCAGGGGACACTGCCACGCAGCACCAAGTGCTCTAGCAGGGACGGGCAAGAGGCGCTCAGAGGCAGGATGAGGCCCGACACCTGACAGGTGCAGCAGGCGACAGTGACCTAGAACCTAGAGGAGATGTCCACTGAGCTGGGTCTTGAGCAGTGAGTGGCTCAAGGAAGAGGAAGAGAAACAGTGAGCCCAGCCGGGCGCGGTGGCTCACGCCTCTCATCCCAGCACTTTGGGAGGCTGAGGCGAGTGGATCATGAGGTCAAGAGATCAAGACCATCCTGGCCAACATGGTGAAATCTTATCTCTACTAACAATACAAAAATTAGCTGGGCATGGTGGTGGGCGCCTGTAGGCCCAATTACTCAGGAGGGTGAGGCAGGAGAATCACTTGAACCCAGGAGATGGAGGTTGCAGTGAGCCGAGATTGCACCACTGCACTCCGGCCTGGCAACAGAGTGAGACTCCATCTCAAAAAAATAAAACGATAAACAGTGAGCCCAATCACAGACACCCGTGGGGGACCAGATAGACAGCAGAACCCCAAATGCGGAGAAAAGGGCTCGTGGACTTGGTGTAGAATCCACAGAAGGACCTTGGGCAGGAGAGATGACCAAATTTCCTTCCAGAGCCTGCTTACATTCATGAGAGCCACAGCAGGGAAGGGAGAAGAGGAGGCAGGCAGGGCTCTCCTAGACCTGAGGAGGCCCTTAAACTGTCTAGGTAATGTGAAGGGGGTCTGGACAGCCAGGAGGACTGCAGGAAGACAGAAGCTGCCAGTGGGTGGCTGCTCAGAGGCAAGGCAGGGCAGGGAGGTGGGGAGAGTCTAGGAGCTGCAGGTGGCTGGCTGCTCAGAGGCAGGGCAGTGAGGTGGGGAGAGTTTAGGAGCTGGAGGCTACAGCTGCAGAGATGCTCACCACATCCATCAAGGCAGGCGACTTGGAGGAAAAGTGATCATCCTGCCTGTGTGGAGCTTGGCATGTCTGTGGGAAAATCTAGAGGACCCAGGAGAGAGACGTTAGCTGAGAACAAACTTCAGAGTCGCACTGGGACCCAGCACTGTCATGGCAGACAGTGCCAGGTCTTTGAACATCAACATCTAAAAGGCCAGGGGAAGAGCGGAGGGCAACAGAAGAGAGAGTGACCAGAGACTCGGGGAGAGGGTCCAGAGGAGCTGCACCACCCAGGGCTGTGCAGGAGAGAGGGAAGCCAGGCAGCCCTGATGACTGGCATGGGCCCCAGGCAGGCAGGGCAGGAGAGATGGAGAGCACGTGCTCGAAAGCCTGGATGGAGAGGGAAGAGCAGCTGGGCCACAGGGAGGTGGGGGTTAGGGAAGGAGAGAAGAATGGCTAGCTTTTTGCCTTGTTTTGGTTTTATCCATTTAATGATAGGAGAGAGACCCGCAGGTAAAACATAGCCTTGAAGAGCTGAGGAAGTGGGGAGAACGCCTAGGGAGAGACTCAGAGCCTGCCTTGTCTCCCACCACTGCCACTCAGGCAGGGCAAAAGCTGCTAAGGGCAGGAGGCCTCGAACCATTCAGCATTTCTGAGCAGTGCCCAGGTTAGCAGCGCCCAGGTCAGCAACACCTGGGCACTGCTCAGAAAGTAAACCTGATCAACAAAGCCTGGTTGTGGTGCAGCTTCCAGCTCCCCCAGCTCAGGGCCGCCCTAGGGAGCAGCAGATATGATGAGGGCTGTGGGGTGAGCCACGTCACTGTGGACATCAGGTCCCTGCCCACGGCGCGGGACACTGAAGGCCATGCAGCAGGTGCCCAGTGAAGACACGCTGAACTGAGATGAGGTGAATGAACAAGGTCTTATGAAAGTGTTGAATGCCTCCCTACTCCAGAGCTCTGCAGAACAGCTGACAGCGCCCAGCCGTGCTCCACCACTGGGATGCCAAATGGCCCTCAAGACAGGCAGCTAAGAGGGGCGTTTTCCCTTTGCAAGAGTCCTTAATGCAGGGCTTACCCAACCACAGTCAAGCCCAAAGCCCATGAAAGAAAAGCGGAATTCTCAGCAGTTACGCTCAATCAGCCCGGTGTGGTGGCTCACGCCTGTAATACCAGCGCTTTGGGAGTCTGAGGCAGGAGGATGGCTTGAAGCCAGGAGTTCAAGATCAGCCTGGGCAACATAGGGAGACCCCACCACTACTAAAAAAAAAATTGTTTTTAGATTAGCCATCTGCAGTGGCATGTACCTGTGGTTCCAGACTCGGGAGGCTGAGGTGGGAGGACTGCTTGAGCCAGGAGGTAGAGGCCGCAGTAAGCCATGATCGCGCCACTGCACTGCAACCTGGGCAACAGAGAGACTGTCTGGAAACAAGTTACATTCAACGAAAAACCTCCACCACCACTGCCCTGCCACTGCCCTGCCACTGCAGTCTGAGCAGATGAGGAAGCACCTGCTGTGCATTCAATGAAAAACCTCCACCACCACCGCCCTGCCACTGCCCTGCCACTGCGGTCTGAGCAGATGAGGAAGTGCCTGCTGTGCCTGAGTGTGGCCTGGCTGGTCGGACCACGGGCTGCAGAGGATCGTGTAGGACCCCTCGCCCCTCAGGAAAGGGTGTGACCTCTGGAAAAGCAGTTCCCAAACCCTCCTGTGGACAGCTGCCACCCCTAATGCTTGTTTTTTGAGAGGAAAAATGTCTCCCAGGCTGAATTGAACTCAGCTTTGCAGAGCCCTCAAGTGAAGCTCCAGGTTGAGTGAGGAGCCCGGCCAAGTCCAGCACCCGCAGAGAAAGACTGCCGAGAAAGCCGAGTGGAGGGCAGGCTGCTGCGGAGCAGACACAGCGCCCAAGCATGCCCACAGCGAAGGCGCACACTGGGGCTGTGGGTCATTGCTTCTAAAATGCATGTGAACGTATCCGTTTGTAACATTTATCGAGAATGTCCCCAGTGCACATGACTTTACCTCTTCCCAGCTTCACGTCCTTCCTTTACTAAACTTAGGCAGGCCATTTCTCAGAACTAAGTCACAACAGCCAATCATAAGCCATTAGTTTTTGTCCCAGAAATAACGTCACCTTTTCTTCATCTGGTGACCAGGAAGTAACACAATGACCTGCTCGTGAGACATTAGCTTAAATCCCGAGGCACTGACTTCTCCACCTGCATTTATAGAAAGGAAAGTTCTGGCCACACACACAGGTACGATACCCAAGGATTGATTTATCATTGATAGTGTTGACGGAATTTCACATTCAGGACGTAACAGAATTTCCAGAAAAGACCAAACAGATCCATCTGCAAACAGAACCTGATTTATACGAACACACCCAGCCCACCTCCCAGAGAGCTTGGCGACCGAGCGTGGCCGCAGGAGGCCTCGCTGTGCTCAGGGACCAGATCTTCCGAGGATGAAGGCGAGAAGGGCCCAGGCCGTCATGATGCCACAGACTCTGCAAGACAATGACACGCATCAGTGGCCGGGGCGCCCAGCAGGCCCAGAGGCACCAACACAGGCTCGCCCCGCCTCCTTCCCAGTCCTGCACCCTCGGATGTCATTTCTGTCCGTCACTCCCCCGGTGCCGACACTGAGCTTCTACCTCTCGAGGGCAGGCTGACAGAAGGCAAAAGGTTTGCCTCGGAGCTCAGTGTGCTTCTTCAGCAATGCTATTTTCCAACTGACATGGCCCCTAACCAGCAAGCCAGAACCTCACAGAGCTCAACCGACAGCAACCTTTCCAGCTGTTCAGGCCCAAATCCTGGATTCGCACTTGACCCTTCTCTCATCTGTCACTGACCCCACCCTGCTGCCCCTGGCTGCACCCAGTTGTGACCAGCTGAAGCATCTCCTTCCTGACTGCTCTCCCGGTGTCACCTCTGCAGTCTACCCCAACATGGAAGACAGCCTGAGTTGGGTCATGGATCTTTCTCACTGAAACCTCCGTGATCCCCTCTCTCCTGAGAAGCCCACGGTCCTCACTGGGTGGCTCCCAAGGGCAGGGGGGGAAGGGTGCGCACCAGTTCCTTTTCTGGTGTCCCCTCCTTGCTGTTCTGCCCACAGTAGCGTGACTCTCCTGGCGCCTCCTGACAGAAGGGCTCTGCCCTGCTGTCCTCTCTGCCTGAACACTGCTCCCAGGTCACTACCTGGCTCACTCCAAGTCTCTAATGAGGACCCCCATCAGCTTCTTCCAACCGCAGCCTACCACCCACCCTTGACCCTTCTCTCATTTTTAATAAACACTTGTCACCCAACACATTACAGGGTCCACTTGTTTATCATGCTTCTCCCCGCCGGCCCATGAGCTCCATGAGAGCTGGGATTTTCTGCTTCACTGACGACACCTAGAACGACGACGGGGCCCACACAGCAGGTGCTCAAGAGATAGGCGATGAGTGTCACTGAATGACGTTCAGGTCACCACACTCGTCAACACCCCCCGGCAACACACACCAGCGAGCAAGCTGTGCTCGAGTCAGACCATGCTGGGATGCCGGGACCCCGGGACCCCGGGACCGGCAGGCGGCCTCCCCGGTACTTACTGGAGCAGGCAGTTGACGTCTGGGGAGTGCCTCCAGTAGCGGTACAGGGAGACGCGCAGGGTTGGGTGGCTCCGGTACTCCTTCAGGATGTTCCGTGCGCTGCCAAAGCAAGTTGGCTGCGGTCAGCCAAGTAGCACGATGGCGCCGCCTGCTGTGATCAGGCAGTGGAGACAGACACAGGGATGAACTCGGGAGGGGCAGGGGACGCGGACTGAGAGGCACCTACTCCTTAAACTTATTGGTCAGGAGTAGGAACTGGCTTCGTGTGAGTCGCCTGACATCAAACTTGCAGAGATTCTGAAACTTCTGGTAGACTTGCTGCTCGCTGACCCCAGGCCACCTTTTGACGCTGAGGATGAGGATGGGAGGTCGGATACTGGGATAATCTGGACCAGAAAAATTCTAAAAAACATGCAGAACACAAGAGATTTTCCACGGTGTTTCCTGACTTCTTACCCAGTCCGATGATCTCAAAAGAACTAGGAAAGGTTCTGCTTGGGGCAGGGAGGGGAAGAGAAGGGAGTGGGGGATGAGTCCACGTTGGCTTTGGTGGAGAAACACCAGAGCAAAGAAAAAGCCAGCTTTTATCTCAGCGACCACTAAAATCCCTCTCACAAGTCCCAGAGCGCACTGGCCGCTTCCCAGCAAAGCCTCTGAACTCTGAACGGGGCAACGGGGCCAAATGAGATCCACTCACAATCTTCGGGACCCCCGCTCGGATGAGGTTCACTTGGTTCACGTAAGGAGCCAGCACATCGAGGTACTGAGGAAAGGTCGACTCGGGAACGGGGTCAATCCTGCAAGGACAGAAAATCCCGAAGCTGCCGGGCACATGAAGTTCATCCACTTCCTCAGCCACAGCCAAGGATCCAGTGACAGAACAGCGGAAGGACAATGCCTGGGGCGGCTCTACCTCCCTTCCGCCCTCAGAAGCCTTGGGGCTCCGGTTAGATGCTTCCCCAGCTGACCAATCTTCTTTTCTGAGAGGGAGGAGTCTCATTCTGTTGCCCAGGCTGGAGTACAGTGGCATGATATCAGCTCACTGCAACCTGTGCCTCCCAGGTTCAAACGATTCTCCTGCCTCAGCCTCCTGAGTAGCCGGGATTACGGGCATGCACCACCATGCCAAGCTAATTTTTGTATTTTTAGTAGAGTTTCACCATGTTGGCCAGGCTGATCTCGAACTCCTGACCTCATGATCCACCCGCCTCGGCCTCCCAAAGTGCTTGGATGACAGGCGTAAGCCACCCCGCCCGGCCCAGCTGGCCAATCTTAAAGCATTCTCAGTGGCCTCCATAGAAGCAGAGCTTCCAGATGTCACCATCTGCTGGTGACGGTTTGGTGAGGGTCCTTCTGCTGACAAACAGCAATAGGCTCAGAGAATCAGTGCGAGGCCACTATTCAGAGAAAGCCCCATGCTGTCCCCTCCTTGGCATGACATCACCCTTGATTCCAAAAGGCATCCCTCACCCCACAGCCTCCACCCACCGCCAGCGCACCCTCTGTCCAGGGAGCGCACACACCTGAGCACAGGCCCCAGCAAAACCATGGGCCAGGCAGACAGGCAGGGAGAGCTTTTAGGCCACGAGGATTAAAAGAAATGAAAGACGCGTGACCCAGGGCAACGAGGTGCTCCACTACTGCTAGCTCCTTCACTGTCCAGCACACACGTACTCACCAGGGAGGGCCTCAAACAGTCAAACCACAAGAAAGGAACCAGGTTGGCACAATTCTTATTTAAGAAATAAGCGTTCCATACATGTATGTGTCATAGAATGTTTGTATTTATAACATCCACTGCTAAAATGGACAAATATAGGCAGTACCGTAGTTAATAGATTATAGTCTGAAAAGGTATTTCTACATCAGTCCCAAAGCACACGAGAATTCCGATTGGCTCCTTGACCTGGCTAAGGCATACTTCACAAACGTGCATGCCAAGGATGGTGCTGTAGAGTGCACACGGAAAATGTGTTTCTGCTGCCCAGGGCTGCAGGTATCAAGGACATTGTCACCTTGGGGAAATGCACTGATTCCAATGTGGGGTTCCATTCATGTCTCCCCAGCCTGTGTGCCCACCAATGACGAATGTGTCATTCATTGAGCTGAACACTTTCTCCTCTTCCCTCATCATTGCTTACATGGCTGTAAGAACACAAGTGAGAAGCAGAACAAGCACACACGCCAGGCTGGGAAGGCTGAGACAGGTGTCAGGACTTACGCCTAGCCCCACTGCCTTGGCCTCCTGACAACAGTGGGGATGGGGGCTGGGACCCAGGCAGGCAGGCAGGCGCAGGGGTGGTAGGGACTGCTCCCGTGGCACAGGGCCATTTGTCTTCCACTGCTGTGTGGGCTGCTGCCCAGTCAGGGACAAGATTTCTATGACAGTGACACCCCACATTCGCCCTTCTCTGGTAGAACCCTAGGACTGGAGAGGTCTTGGCTTCCAGCAAGGGCTCAATAAATCCTGACCACTGATTGAACCACGGTATGAAAAGGAAGAACACTTACCTGTGCACTTTCTGTAGTAGTAAATGTGCCACTTTCAAAAGAACTAGGAAGGAAAAAAGAAATGTAACAGACCTTATCAAAATATGCGTGCTCATGCTTCTTCTCATTATGTGCAAGCCAATCTGAAATAAATGGAGAACCCAGGAACGGAAGGGGCATAATGCCAACAAAAAGTGAGTTTCCAGCTGGGTGTGGTGGCTCGTGACTGTAATCCCAGCACTTTGGAGGCTGAGGCAGGCGGACTGCTTGAACCCAGCAGTTTGAGACCAGCCTGGGCAGCATGATAAAACCCCATCTCTACAAAAAATACAAAAATTAGCCAGGTGTGGTAGCTGCACCTGTAGTCCTAGCTACTCAGGAGGCTGAGGTGGGAGGATCACTTGAACCCAGGAGACAGAGGCTGCAGTGAGCCAAGATCCTCACCACTGCACTCTAGCCTGTGAAACAGATGAAATCCTACCAAAAAAAAAAAAAAAAAAAAAAAAAAAAAAAAAAAAGTGAGTTTCCTTTTAAAGGAACAGCAATCCTTACCTGACCCACAAAGGAAGGCATCATATGCAGCTTCATGGGGGCACTTTGTCTCAACTGAGGCATTTTCCACCATTAGGAGAGAATTGAGCAGTCATTAGAAACACGCCCCCTCCTAACTCACCATCCACAGCAGCTACAGCTCAACCACCCTCCCCACGGTCCGGCAGACCCTTCTGCGGGCCCATACACCAACTTCACCTTGGTTCTCCCCACGACGGAAAAAGCCCCAAGCTCAGGGCTGCCGCATAGACCAAGGACCACATTAAGGAGGAAACTGACATCTCCCAAGGCCCTCGGATGCATTCTGGGCTTGCTTGTTTGGGGCAGGAATTACATGGAATAAGTAGAGCGAAGGAAAGCCCCACACAAACCTCCCCCACCCCCTGCTGTCCAGGGGCGGGGACCAGGGTCAAGAACAAGATCAACTGAGTACCTCAGCGCTCTGCTGACCATGCAAAAAGTGTTGGCTCATGGGAACATACCGTATTTCTCACAGCTGATTGCATGAACAATCTCTGGTCCAGAATTCTTGGTTGGATTCAAGTCACTATTAGAAAAAAATAAACAACTTGCTGAAGGTAATCCCTTCTTGTTTTCCCCTCAGTCCCTTAACATATATATATTTTTTAGAGACAGTGTTTCACCATGTTGGTCAGGCTGGTTGGTCTCAAACTTCCAACCTCGGGTGATCTACCCACCGTGGCCTCCCAAAGTGCTGAGATTACAGACGTGACTGCACCCAGCCCAATATAAAGTTGTTTAAATGTACTGAGGACGTATCTTTAAGGTGCAAATCTAGGCATGGACAGGTAAGGTCTCGCTAACTGAGCAACCAGAAAGGGGAAAGAACAATGGAGCAGGAGGCCCCTGTGGGGTTACTCCAGGCATTTATCAAATGCTTTGAGCCCAGGCACCAAGCTAGACAAGACAGTCTCTGTCCTCCAGAGCTCACTCTCTAGTGGCCTGTCTAGTGACAAATACAGAGACAATTACGCCTGCGTCATATAAACGCAAGGCCTGGGGCAAGACAGTCACACCAGGACCCTGCAGGCTTCTGGAAGCAGGCAGGACTCTTGGAGAGTCCCAAACCACAGGAACCAATGGGGTTCAAGGAATGGGGAGATGGCAGGCATTTCAAGCAGGCAAAGACAGCAGGAAAGGCCAGGAATGGTGGTTCATGCCTGTAATCCCAGCACTTTGGGAGGTTGAGGTGGACAGATCATTTGAGTTCAGGAGTTCGAGACCAGCCTGGCCAATATGGTGAAACCCTGTCTCTAGAAAAAGCATAAAAATTAGCCAGGCGTGGTGGCATGCACCTGTAGTCCCAGCTATTCAGGTGGCTAGGGCAGGAGAATCGCTTGAACCTGGGAGGTGGAGGTTGCAGTGAGCCGAGATTGTGTCATTGTACTCCAGCCTGGGCATCACAGCGAGAGACTCCATCTCAAAAAAAAAAGGAGGTCTGACACCAGGAGCTGTGAGGTGAGAAGTGGAGCTGAGGTCCTGTGTGAAGGGAGAGCCAGAGGGTGGGAAGGAGCCCCTATGACAGGCAGGGGCTTCAGAAGCCACGGAAAGACTGATCAGAAAAAGCAGCCCATTCAAATTTACATTCTATATCATCAATCAGGGAGGGTGTGGGATGAAGAGGGCAGACCACAGGGCTGTGATGCCACTCAGGGACTGCTTCCACAGTTCCACGGTTGGAATGAAAAGACAGTGATCCTGAGAATGCAGAGAAAGGAGAGGTTAGAGATTTACAGGGTCAAGTCCATAAAACTCGACTCGATAGATGTGAGCAACTCAGCTGTGTGACCCCTTCCATGTCTTGGCTCCGGGACCTAGGTGAATGGAGATGGCGTATGACAAGGACACCTTCGCATCACTGGTTTTCAATAAGATGTTTTGGAAGCTCATGTGCTTAAACCTCCCTGACCCCTAACCTCCCCCTGTAAACAGGCATCATCAACGTGGGTGTGCCATGAGCTGTCCGTTAGGATCAGGAAAGCCGTCAACAATGGCAGCTAAGATTCAACAGACCTGGACTACATGCAAGGGGCTGTTCTGAGTCCTTCCACAGCTACGAACTCACTCAATCCTCACAACCACCTTGAGAGTTACATTATTTTCTCATCTCACAGATGGCTAAATTGAGGCACAGAGAGATTAAGTAATTCTTTCAAAGTTACTCACAGCGAGTTGCAAAGCTGGGATTGAAACCCAGTAAGCCTAGAATCAGAGCCTGTGCATTTACAACAGAATTCTCTCTTCCCTTCACCCTCTTATGCACACACAGCCCCCAGTATACACCTGGTACCATCAAGACTTCAGAGTTTCCAGGCACTGAAGTGTGCTTGAGGGACAGAGAGGAATATCAAGTTGGAGGTGCCCGCAGGTCATGCAGTGTGGGAACATCAAGAAGACAGCTGGTAAACGCAGTGTCCTAGATGCTGAGGTCTGGACTGCAGCTGCACACAGGTGCTGGAAGTTGAAGCCCAGGGGTTGGGTGAGGCCACACGGAAGCCTGGGAATGAGCCGGAAGAGGGCTGAGGGCCCCTGAGAGAAAACTTAGGAGAATGGTAGACAGAATGAACCACAAGGAATGGGTTTAAATAATTCACACACACGGGACAGGGTGTGGTGGCTCACGCCTGTAATCCCAGCACTTTGGGAGGCTGAGGTGAGTGGATCACCTGAGGTCAGGAGTTCAAGACCATCCTGGCCAACATGGTGAAACCCCATCTGTACTACTAAAAATACAGAAATCAGCCACGTGTGCCTGTAATCCCAGCTACTTGGGAGGCTGAGGCAGAAGAATCACTTCAACCCGGGAGGTAGAGGTTGCAGTGAGCCAAGATTGTGCCATTGCACTCCAGCTTGGGGGACAAGAGCGAGACTTCATTTAAAAAAAAAAAAAAAACAACCCACACACACTTTCAGAACAGGTGCCACCCGGTTCCAAACACCGCTTGTGCCTCGTCCTGCTGAATGGGGCCAGACCAGAGGCGCCGCGTGCCCTCTGGAGAGCAGAAGTGAAGGAGACAAGGCCCTGACTGCCATAGGCAGAGGGGAGGAAGAGAGGGGAGAGTTACAGAGGCTTTCCTAAGTTTGGAGAACACATGTTGATGTGGAAGGAAATGAGAGGGAGACAGAAAGAGGTGGAGACACCTGGGAAGGGGCAGGCAGGGGTGGGGAGCTACTGAGCAGGGGTAAAGGTGATGAGTAGGGGACAGCTCCTGCTGCCTGGCCTCGCACAGGGAAGGTGCTCCATTTGCTGGTGACAGGGGCGAGACAATGAAATAGGGGAGGACAGTCAGCAACCGTACAACTGTTTGCAGGGCAGGGGTTGAGAGATTTCCTGTCTCTGGCTTCTCTTTGGAAACAGAGGCAAGAGGAAGGGGACCATGAAGCAGGAGCAGCTGGAGGAGATGGAGTCCGCCTCAGGCATCACTGTGAGTGGTGGCCGTGCCTAGGGAACCCAAGGCCCTGCAGGGTACAGGGAGGCCGTGGCGGCCGCAGACCCTGCTCCAGCGGCAGCTCCAGGAATTGCCACCCTCACCTGTTCAGGACTTCATAGACTTCGGAAAGACTCGACACCCTTGGGAAATTCATCTCCTACAATTATGGAAAACCAATCAGAGAAAAGCGTTTGTGCTTTTGTTTATTCTCAGTTTTAAGCAGTATCAAATAGTCATTAAAACAGCCTGGAAAGTGCTAACTCCTACAACCTCCTCTTTCTCTTATCCTTATTCCTTAGTTAGGATGTCAGGGTACCCAGTATCCATGGGTTTCCTACAAGGGCTCCCAAAAACCCAGACTAGAAAAAATCTCTACACACCATCTCCCTTAGAAGATGTATTTAGGAGATTATCTATCAACACAGGCAAGGACATACATGTAGAATACAGGCATTCTAAGGTCTAAAAAGCCTTGGGGCAATGCCTAGTTACTAGACCCTAAGAGTTCATAGTAGCTGGAAATACCCGAAGTACAAACGATAACAGCCTATAGGCAGAGACAGACCACACCCTACTCCCATCTGTGTGGCTTCCTTCCGGGATGATTCACTCTAAGGAATCACCCTAAGGCTTCACAACATTGATCTGATGCCTCTTTCTCTGTTCTTCAATTTTTTGTTTTTTTACTTGAGACAGGGTCTTGCTCTGTTGCCCAGGATGGAGTGCGGTGGTGCGATCTTGGCTTATTGCAACCTCCGCCTCGTGGGCTTAAGCGATCCTCCCACCTCAGCCTGCCAAGTAGCTGGGACTACAGGTGCGCACCAACATACCGAGCTAATTTTTGTAGAGCTGGAGTCTCACCCACATTGTTCAGGCTGGTCTCAAACTCCTGGGCTCAAACCATTCACCCACTTTAGCCTCCCAAAACGCTGGAATTACACGTGTGGGTCACTGTGCCTGGCTATTCTCATTTCTAAGCAGCATTTAAACCAGATAGGTCTCTCTTCTCTACGTATAGTGCATGGCCTTGACTCCACAACAGAATCACCTGGGGAGCTTTAGAAATGCCACCTGGCCCCACTCTAGATCAGACAAGAAGCTGCCAGTGTGGCCTGGCTATCAGCATTTTCAACTTCCCACGTGATTCTAACATGCTGTCAGGGCTGAGAACCCATGACTGTAGGGCTCAAGAAGAGGTTTTTTTCTCAAGATTTTTCAGGAGGGAACCCTCTCCACCCTGGTGCTCTGTACACATGTTGCAAATATTCTCAAGGCATGCATCAAGTTCTAAAATAAATTGTTCTGTTGTCTGACCTAAATAAGCACAAAGGCCAGCAATGGTGGCTCACGCCTATAATCCCAGCACTTTGGGAGGCCAAGGCGGGTGGATCACAAGGTCAGGAGTTCCAGACCAGCCTGGCGAAACTTCGTCTCTACTAAAAATGCAAAAATTAGCCAGGCATAGTGGTGTGTGCCTGTAGTCCCAGCTATTTGGGAGGCTGAGGCAGAAGAATCGCTTGAACCTGGGAGGCGGAGGTTACAGTGAGCTGAGATAGCACCACTGCACTCCAGCCTGGGCGACAGACTGAGACTCCGTCTCAAATCAGTCAATCAATAAGCACAAAAACTCTATACAAGTAAGTCAAAATGTGGGAACTTCAAAGGGAATAAAAGTCATATATAAGCTAATATGATGACTCACAGGTACCAACACACAAAAGGAAATGCACTGGTTTTAAGAGAGAAAAGCATTCAAAGAACAACTTTAAACAACACAAGAGAAAGCTAAGCATTACTGGTGCAGACAAAGCAGTCCTTAACCCAAAGCAATTCTCTTCATTACCTTCCAGATATCCTTTGTTACATTCTTGGTATCAATGAGAACAGGAAACAGGCTGTGGATATTCTGCTTAAATTGATCGTAGCTTTCTGAGGGGAAAAACCCAGGGAGTCAAGAGTGAATTTGTTTGCTGGTAAAAACGGGAAGGAACATTCTTGAACCTAGCTTGCCACTGGCACTGATGAATAACGCAAACTGAAACAAAACAGGAACTGAAAGCATCCTTCACCCTAGCCACTAAGGAGTTCTAAACTCTGATCAACCTGCCATCACCACTTTTAACGGTAAGGGCCAAATGGTTTTGTTAAATTTTGGATGTGTTCTATTGCCAACTTTAGTTAATGTAGTTTGTGAAGTTCTAGCCAATGGGATAAGACTTTTAAAAATAGCGTATTATTGAAAAGGCAGACATAAAGTCATTTGTAAATAACTGCTCAGAGAAAAATCCAAGAAAAAAAATCAATTAAAAATTGTAATTAGTAAAGTGTCCTGATAAAAGAAGTTTACATAAGAAAGAACTCAGTTGGTAGTTATCAAAGTTATACCTGCATATAGTTTAAAGAGGTTTACTGCAAAACACGCATACTAAAAACAAAAACCAAACCCTGTGACCCTCTTCCTGCTACTATTCCATTTCCTATTCCCCAAAGGCAACCATTTGCAATTCTTTTCCTTTCGGTATTTATTCCCATCTCTCCAGCACACGCAGGCTGCAGCGTTAGACACCGCACTCCTGCCCTCCTGCCAGCTGAGAGGATGACGACCCGTCATTCCACCCCCACACACATGCCCAGCCCTATTGCCACATGCACGTCATTCACAGAAGGGTCTGTGGTGGCTATGATGACTTTTCCTTTCTTGCGCAGCTTTTGTTCTCCCAGTGATTATTTTATCGTACTTAGTTTTTTGGTGAACGCATATTATTAATTTCACCCCTGATTCTCCTTCAACTGTCTCAATATGCTCAAACTCAGGTGTTTTATCGTTTCTTGGGGAAATCTCTCCTAAAACTTTCCTACCCCTTTTAACCTAGACTAGTGTTCTTTGCACATTAATTCATTTCATCTCAAAACAACTCAGATAGTGGCACTATTACCCCAATCTGACAATTAAGGTAATGTCAGCTTGCTGGAGACTACACACATGGTGTGAGATGGGTGAAACCACCGAGGCTCGAGTCCCGACCTTTACCCACTAGGCTGCACTGCTGCATGTCTAGTAATGGAATCAACCAAGAAAAAGCAGGGGACAGCCATTAGACAGTATCACACGATATTAAAGCGGTATTTATTGCTTTTTAGTAACACAAAATAATGCTTTGGGTAAGTGAAAAAAAGCCAAATGAAAATCAAATATATAGTATAATCAAATATGTTAAAAACTTAGGATTACAGCTGATCAAAGGTGACTTCTGACTTAAGACATTTCCGATTTTGCCAAGTTTTATACAATAACTCTGAACAACTTCAGTAATGGGGAGGGGGTATCAATTCAAATTTAACTTATTGCCCCCTTGACAAAGTCTCGTGGTTTTCCACTCTGGGGAGACAGTAACAGATCAGAGTAAGGGCCTCTGCCTGAACTCTCCAGAAACCTGCAGATGCTGGGAGAAATGTGCATGTTAGGGATATGATTCTGGACGAATCCCTCTGTAGATGGAAAACTAGGATGAAGGAAGGGGAACGACAGGTGTGCCCCTACCTGGCAGGGGTCTGAAGAACTTCTCATGTAGGTACAGCAGGTCCATCATCATGTTATGTCCCACTAAGGGCTACTTGGAATAAATCAATAGGTGAGAGAAAATAAAAAATGTCATACAGACACTATAACAGTTTCTTGCTAAAGATGTAGCTTTAGGACCCACTGCAATTCTGATCACTTGACGATTCCATCCTTACCCCCCTTTGCCTCCATGAAAGGTAGTTCAACAGCTTAAATGCCAACAAAAAGAAAATAATTCGCAAGTAGGAGGCACATAAGACAGGGTCGGTACTGGAAATCTATACCATGAAGTAAGCTCCTATAGTTTCCCCAAGTAGTTTTAGGTCAATTAGAATTGAAATTCCTGTGTTACAAAAGGGGCAAAGAAGTCATACTGTTTCTTTTGGATAATCTTGCCCCAAATTAATCTATCATGATTTGGTGAAAGCAAGGTTACCTCCAGGAAATTAGTTACAAATGAGAGGGCCAGGCGCAGTGGCTCATGCCTGTAATCCCACCATTTTGGAAGGCCAAGGCAGGCAGATCACTTGATCCCAGGAGTTCGAGACCACCCTGGGCAACACTGTGAGATCCTGTCTCTACAAAAAAAAAAATTTAGGTATGGTGGCATGCATCTGTAGTCCCAGCTACTCAGGAAGCTGAGTGGGACGTCAAGGCTGCAGTGAGCCATATTCATGCCACTGCACTCTTGCCTGGGTGACAAAGTGAGGCTTTATTTGAAAGTAGAACACGAAAAATTAATGAGAAGGAATCACTTATCTTAAGGAATCTGATTTTATTATTGAAGGAGCCTTTAGTATCTATGATCAGAAATACAGAAGACTGCCTTTAGGCCAAGAGGAGAGACAATTTTTCCTACCTTCTGGGCTTTCACCAGCATATGGAAAAAGACAGAAAAACCCTTTGCAGAGAGAAGAATATTTTCCTTCCAACAGCTCTCTCGGTCACAAGAGGTGCTCTGAAGATACCAACGATGTTGTTTACTCACTTTCTTCACTACCACCTGAAGAGCAAGGACAAATTCCCTGAATCCTGGGTCACTGGAGATGAAGCCTAAAGAAATGGTTCTATATCTAAAACAAAAGGAAAGGGGAAAAACTACAAGAGTTCGAGAGAAAAGCTTTTCAGAGGCCAGATTTGGCCAAATGAGAGAGAAACGATACAGCCACTGATGCCCGTTCTCAGGGGAGAACTCACCCCGTCATCTTTCAGCACCGTCCAGATGTTGTGGAGGGCCTGCCGCAGCACCAGCTGGACCTCAAAGGCCTGGAAGCCTGCAGCAGGGAAACACAGGGGCACACAGTAACTGGAACCATGTGGCATGTTCCCCTTAAGAGAAGCCAGGAGGAGCAGAAGCTGAGAGATGGAGAGGTCAGGTACAATGGCAGATTGAAGGGTGTCCAAGCCCATGAGCCATGTGGCAGGGCCTGGCCTGTCATGATGGGATCTAGCGCAGCATTCTAAGAGTTTCTGATCTTAGGGCCACTCTTGAGTTGGGAATCCCATACAGTTTGTGTTGATGTGAGTTACAGCTACTGATATTAACCATGTTAGAAATTAAAACTCTTAACATTCTAAAAATGTTTTTTAAACAAAAACTCATTATATATGAACAAAAGTAACACTTATAAAAAGTAACTATTTTCCAAAACAAAAATTTGAGCAAGAGGAGTGACACTGTTTTACATTTCTACAAATCTCTAACATTTGGCTGGAAGGTTCTATCAACATCTGCATTCAATCTGTTGTGATCCTTGAAACATAAGAAAATTCAGCCTCAAGGCTGGGCGTAGCAGCTCACACCTGTAATCCCAGCACTTTGGGAGGCTGAGGAGGGCCCGAGATCAGAAGTTCAAGACCAACCTTAGCAACATGGTGAAACCCTGACTCCACCAAAAATACAGAAATTAGCCAGGCATGGTGGGCTGGGGGGGTGGGGGGGTGCGGGGCAGGGGGTGGGGGGTTGCGGGGCGGGCGATGGGGAGTGTAATCCCAGCTACTTGGGAGGCCAAGGCAGGAGAATCCCTTGAACCTGGGAGGCGGAGGTTACAGCGAGCCAAGATCCAGCCTGGGCAATAAAGACTCCATCTAAAAAAAAAAAAAAAAAAAAAAAAATCCAGCCTCAAACAGATATGTAAGTGGAAAAGGGAACAGAATTACCAGCCTTATCCAATGACTCTGAATATTCTTTAGAATTGCACCAAATTCAACAAGTGGTAGTTTCTTAAAGATTAGTTGCAATGTGGAATCTGAAACCATCATTAATGAGTTTTCTCCTACGCTACATTACAGTCCACTGGCCTATCTCATACCTTGAATAGATCCCTTATCTGTGAGATAAGACAGTGCACAGAAGTAACAACATGTGCTAGTAATTTGGAAAACACTGGTTGGCAGGGTTATGCAGGTCTCCCAAATGTTCACACATTTTCTTACACAGTATCAACAGAAGACAATGGAAAATAGGATCACTGATCTCATCAGGAAGGTCACAGTACTGGGAAGCTGCCAAGCTTATGGTGGCACATGCAAGTTCTTCAAAATTCCAGCTTTTGATTGAAAGCTATAATTTTATTAGTAGGAAATACTGCAAGTTATATTCCTTGAAATGACAAGTTTTTTTTTTTTTTTTGAAACAGTGTCTTGGTGTGTCACTCAGGCTAGAGCGCAGTGGCGCCATCTTGGCTCACTGCCACCTCCGCCTCCCAGATTCAAATGATTCTCCTGCCTCAGCCTCCAGAGTAGCTGGGATTACAGGCGCCTGCCACTACGCCTGGCTAATTTTTGCATTTTTAGTGAAGATGGGATTCTCACCATGTTGGCCAGGCTGGTCTCGAACTCCTGACCTCAAGTGATCGCCTGCCTTGGCCTCCCAAAATGCTGGGATTACAAACGTGAGTTACCGTACCTAGCCAACAGGCTTTTTTTAATTGAGAAAATGGTTGTGAAACCTTCAAGTCTAAGTAACCAATCAGTTCTTTCCAATAAAAATGACATTTTGTGTGGTTGGGTACAGTGGCTTATGACTGTAATTCCAGCACTTTGGGAGACCTAGGCGGGAGGATCACCTGAGGTCAGGAGTTCGAGACCAACCTGACTAACATGGTGAAATCCCATCTCTACTAAAATGCAAAAATTAGCTGGGCGTGGTGGCGGGTGACTGTAATCCCAGCTACTTAGGAGGCTGAGGCAGGAGAATCACCTGAACCCAGGAGGCAGTAGTTGCAGTGAACCGAGATCATGCCATCGCACTCCAGCCTGAGAAACAAAAGTGAAACTCCAGCTAAAAACATATATAAAAATAACATTTCATGAAAACAAACAAAAGAAAAGCAGCTAATTCATCTCTCAACTCAAAAAAACTGCATATTCACTTTTCCTTGACACAAGTGCTATATTTTGCACACAACCAAGCAATGTTTTATGCATACTTATATATTGACATATAATATTTTAAAAAATAAGTAATCAAAAAAATTGAGATTTAATACAACTAAGAATATTACTTTTTCACCAAGGAGGCTGCTAGTAGGATTAGCTTTTCTGTTTTTAACTGAGACTAAGTGGTAACGAAGAACATGGTCTGATGCTTCTGCCTCAATTTGTGCTGAGGTGTGAGCACGTCTGTCTGACATTGCTTGGGCACCAATGCAAACGGCACAATAACAACAGCAAGTGACCACAGAGGGATATGCGGAAAATTGTTTTGACCTCACAGACCCATTGGAAAGAGTCCCAGAGACTCTAGGGTCCACACCCAGCCTCCGATTGCTGCTAAGCTACGACCGCATTCACTGTGACTTCACATCACAAAGTGGGGGAAAAACTCAGATTAACAAAAGTCAAAATAAGAACAAAGGGCACCCAGGACTGAGATAAAAGGGATGGCTCATGAATGGAACTTGACTTTCTCAGCCTTGAAACTCAAAGTATGTTGAAAAGCCTTCAACGTTTGAATGCAGGTCAAAGCTTTATCTAACCACAAAGACTACAAATCCCCCGAGCAAATGCTGGCATCAGACTCAGTCATGATGCATTTGGGACCAGGATCCCAAGAGAGGGTATGTTTCTCCAACTACCAGCAGGTAACAGTGACCTGTCCCAATGCTCCTGCGTTGGGAGGAACAGCCCCTGCCTACCAGCAATCCCAGGAAGAGTCATCCAGTCGCCTTCCTTGGCCAGGTCCAGCCATCGTGTCACTTCATCAATCACCACCTTGATTTGGTCTTTATCCAGAGAGCTGAAAATGGGCGCACGAAAGTGAAAATGTCAGAGAAAAACACACCAGAACGGCAAGAATAAGTTAACACGAGAGTAGTTTCTCAGCCCTCTGGTTTTCATACTGCAATGTATAAAGAAAATGAACCAAAAGAAAACCCTTTCTTCTCTGAGGCTCTTATGCAATAGGAAGCCAAACAGTAGGAAGAATAGCCCGCAGTCTTTCACAGGTTCCAGGGATATATTCCACCCCCTCCTGCTTCACTAGGATGTATGGAGGAAAGCCATTGGTAACTAGCCAATGCCAAGCATTGCTATCAGGACCGTCTTCTTTATTCAGCTTTCGGGGGTGATAAAGTCCTATGTGGAAAAATAAGGAAAAGACAAGGACTTTGGTAAATACATTGTCTCTTGCGTCAGAAACAGAAGAACATAATAACACTGTGAGATAAGGAAAGGCCTTTCTCCAACTCTTGAAAATAAAAGAAGGTTAAAAATTCAACTTGTTTTTCCCTTACAAAACTCTACATTTTTATATGAAAACCAGCAAGAAAAATACAAAGAGATGAAAATTCCTCCAACATAACGGAATTATCTGGAAGAGATCATCACTCATCGTATTTCAGATGTTCATGTAATCTTCTCCTTTCTGATAAAGGCAAAGAGCTTCCATGACTTGTTCAAACCCAAAACTGAGCTGACAGCACGAAGCTCCAGGTGAGGGTGACAGCCCCAGGGCCCCCTGCCTGTCTCCCTACAGTGCTGTTGCTCTCACTGTGGTCACTCCTGACCCCAGCTCTACAGGAATATGAGGTTTTGGAGACTCAGGCTGGCACAGAGAACCAAGTAAAAAGGCAGAGGCCCCACCCATGGGGAGCAGGGTTAGTCACAGCGGGGCAGACACAGCCTAACCAAGGCGCACATCTGATGTCAATGCCCAGGATGACTGCCAGTCAAGGTTGCCCGTGAGATATGCTTGAAAAATCCCTCAGAAGATCAGATAGAAGATCAACATAACATCTCACAGCAAGTCCAACAGAGCCGTTTCTTCCCCTCTAGCACTGGCATGGAGTTCTTGTTTGAGTTTCAAATTAGGAGTCAGTTTCTTTTTCTTTTTAAACACTGAAACTCACACTTGATGCAGTGAGAGGTTCATGAGGGAGTGGAACACGATGGAGACAGGTGAAAGCCATTCTCAGCTCAGGCAGAGGCGGCTGAGGCCATCCCCACCATGCATGGATGGAGGTCACCACACTCCTGAAAACAGCATGCCCGCTCACAGGAAATGCAGACAACAGCAACAAGGAAACCAGAAGGCACCTGGAGAAACAGGCCATACCTGCGAACTCTCCAGTTCCCACTCAGGATATCATGTCTAATTTTCTTCTCCTGTTCTTCATTCATATATGGGATTCCGTTTTTGAGAAACTTCAGACAGAAACAGAACAAGAAACATAATAAGGAGACAAGACAGCGGTACCCTCTGTGCTGAGTAAAGAGGTAGCTTCTGTGCCTGATCCCATGGGGACAGGTAGAAAGAGGAAAGGAAAAAACAGGCTGTATAGGCCAGTTAGTCTAGATCACTTTTAAAACATTCCCAGGCCAGGCGGGTGGCTCACGCCTGTAACCCCAGTACTTTGGGAGGCCGAGGCAGGTGGATTGCTTGAGGTCAGGAGTTCAAGACCAGTCTGACCAACATGGCGAAGCCCCATCTCTACTAAAAACACAAAAAGAATTAGCTGGGCATGGTGGTGGGTGCCTGTAATCCCAGCTACTCGGGAGGCTGAAGCAGAAGAATCACTGGAATCCAGGAGGTGAAGGTTGCAGTGAACCGAAATCATGCACTCCAGCCTGGGTGACAGAGCAAGACCCCATCTCAAAAACAAATAAACAAGCAAACAAAGGGAATTCCTGTTCCCCTCTTCCGATGCCATACCTTGTTATAGTTGAAGCCATACTGATTCAAAAACTGAACACTGGAAGCCTGGAAAGAGAATTCTGAGTCCAAAATCCCAAATGTCGTAGGGAAGAGAAAGAAGTTACACGAATGAGCTACGTACCTATAATAAAAGACACATACAGAGAAAAAGCCACAACCACTTAAAAAACTCTGGCTCCCAGGGCAGGCTTCGGGGGGGGGGGGCTCTTTCTTTTAGGTAAGAAGAATCTGAGTGTGCCCGAGTGTCTGCTGTGTTTTAGGAGCTATGATTGGCACTGGTGGGGGGTGGGGGAGTGAGCTAAAGGAAAAAGGCAGAGATCCTGCCCTCAGGGTCAGGGTCTACCACAGAGACAGCCCTCCACAGGCCCCCCAGGGATGCCGGGTCGGCATGCAGGCTGGCACCCTCAGCTGCTCATGGTGGGTAGGGAGGCATCCTGAGAGCTGGGACATCCTTTCTGCCTATTGCATCAGGTAGTTTAAACATCACTTTCATCATACCATGCTGTGTCAGGTGTTTTTATCAATATAGGTGCACACAGGAGATGATAGAAATAGCGGAAGGAACACCTAAGGTACAGAGCGAAACTGGTGGAAAAGGCCCCATGGGAAAGATACTGTTTCCAGAGAGACGTCAAAGCCAAGCCGGAATCCGAAGAGGGCAGAGCGAGCAGAGGAAAAGACAAGCAAAGAATATGAACACCCAGGGCCAAAGTGGTTGGGGCACCTGAAACAGAATCTGAGGGAGGCAACTGTGGTACATGGGTGGACAAGCAACATCCTTTGCAGAAGCTCTTGATACATACTTGTTTGCTTCTCCTTCAATAGCGGAGAACATAGACAATCCTGGAAGAATGACCATAGAGGGAATGAATGCCAAAGAAAAGCAACCTCAATTTCACTACACAGACAAAACAATTCAAACAGTACTCTGTGCCCAGATACTACGTGAGCTGTCCAACAGGGTAGGATAACATCTTTAATGACCAACAAAAAAGAACAGACTGGAAGCATGAGAAATGTCAAAAACTGTAATTCACACTGAATTTGCTAAAATGTAATTTGTGGCCTCTTCTTCAATTATAGAAGTAAATATTAAAGGGACATTCTCACAGTTTTAAAACTAACCAGAGAAAATATCAAAAACCATTAAGATTTATATATTTAACTCATTTAAAATGTCTATTCCTCCCCTCTCAAAGAAAATCATACACAGAGATTTTTCTAAAAGAGACTTCAGTCTGGGTGCAATGGCTCACGCCTGTAATCCCAGCACTGTGGGAGACCTAGGCAGATGGATCACTTCAGGTCAGGAGTTCGAGACCAGCCTGATCAACATGGTGAAACCCTATCTCTACTAAAAATACAAGAATTAGCTAGGTGTGGTGGGGTGTGCCTGTAGTCCCATATACTCAGGAGGTGGAGGCAGGAGAATCACTTGAGCCTGGGAGGCATGGGTGTTGCTGCAGTGAGCCAAGATCACACCACTGCACTCCAGCCTGGGAGACAGAGAAGGACTCCCTCTCAAAAAACCACCCCAACACAACAAGCAAAAACATGAAAAAAAAAAAAAAAAAAAAACCACCACAAGGGACTTCAAATTTGGGTACAACAATGGAAACATAACTACAACTGTTTCCCATACTTCTCAAAGAGGTCTTATAATTAAAAATAAACAAAAAAACAATCATAACAGAAAAGTAGCAAAGGATCAGGCTAGAGAGGAAAACACAAATGTTCAGCATGTTTTGTAGTAAAAGGAGGGGTTGGACATGGCAGCCGGATCTCAGCCTCTACTTGAGAGGCTGAGACTGGAGGATCTCCAGAGCCCAAAAGTTTGGGCCCAGCATGGGCAACACAGCAAAATCCCATCTGGGGGGTTGGGGAGGCGCTGACAAACCCAGAAAAGTAAAATCTGGTCCAGGGCTTGTTTCTGTAAACATAACATTTTACTGGAATGGAGCCATGCTCATTTGCTCATGTATTATCTACAGCTAATTTCACATTACAAAAGCAGGATTGATTAGCTGTAAAAGAAACTGCATTATGCAACTGTTAAAATGAACAGATCTGTTTTGACCAGCCTGCCTAACACGGTAAAACCCTGCCACTACTAAAAATACAAAACTTAGCTAGGCCTGATGGTGGACGCCTGTAATCCCAACTGCACAGGAGGCTAAGACAGGAAAATCGCCTGAACCCGGGAGGAGGAGGTTGCAGTGAGCCAAGATTGCACCACTGCCCTCAAGCCTGGGCAACAGAGCGAGACTCCATCTCAAAAAATAAAATCAACAAACAGATCTGTATGAGCTGATAAAGATCTCCAAACGCCATCAAGGGGAAAAAAAAAAGTTTCTGAAGCTGAGACAACATTAAACAAATTTGTGTATCTTTTAAAAAAAAAAAAAAAAAATCACAGGCCAGGTGTGGTAGCTCCTGCTTGTAATTCCACCACTTTGAGAGGCAGAGGCAGGATTGCTTCAGCCCAGGAAGTCAAGACCAGCCTGGGCAACATGATGAAAACCCATCTAAACAAAAAAATTTAAAAATTAGCTAGGTGTGGTGTCGAGCCTGTAATACTTGTTTACTCAGGAGGTCAACGTGCTAGGATCACTTGAGCCCTGGAGGTCTAGGCTGCAGTGAGCTGAGTCCACGCTACTGCACCTCAGTCTTGGCAACAGAGCAAGACCCTGTCTCAAAAAATAAAAATCACACACACACATTTTTATTTGAGAGAGTAACTGATTGTTCCTTAACACTGCCTTATTTAAGCATGGAAACAATGCTGCTAAATTTTCTTTGCTCCAAAGTGTTGATTCCATATGTATAAAATAGCCCAAAACAAGCATACAAAACTATACTCAATATCCTTGAAAAATCTCAGAGCTGTTTTTACAGTAGAAAACACAAAGACAATCAAAATGCCTTCTTGAAAAACTCAAACATCTAGATACCAAACTCACCAATCTGACAGATTGTAAATTGCTGAACACTCTGGCGGGTCTTTAGATACCACTCCGACGGCAAATCAAAAAGACTGTGAACAAACAGGCATCTCATTCCACGGGCAGTGACATACCAGCCCCGCACTATGGCCTCCGCGGCTGATCACCACTCTCAACCAGGGAGCATTTTTTCCTTTTTACAACTAGGGAACACCACCAGCATGTTGTGGCCAAAAGCCAGGTCCCCCAACACGTGGGAGCAAGCCACACAAAACGTCCTGCCCCCCAAATGCCAACAGGACGCTGACCAAACGATGCTGGTTGGGCCAGATCTCATACAGAAGGGACACAGCTTTAGTTTTACCTGATCTGCTGGGGCCCAGACAGGTTAGAACGAAGGCCCGTGAATTCTATGTCCAGACCTGCCGGAAGGCAAAAAAATACCAGTCCTTGGGTGCAGACCATCGCTAGCACTCTTCACACTGTAAATCTGCAGGCAGCCAACGCACACACCCGGGCTCACCTCCGTGCTCAAGAAGCCAGGTAAGGAGGAACAGAAGCAAGGAGCAGCCAGCGGACACCGCCCTCTCCCCTGCCCCCACCCCGGGGTTGCACCTGGGCGCACCGGGCTCTGACCAACAAGGCACGAGGGGCGCGGAGTGTACTTGCTGCTCAACGTCCCACCGTCCCTGGGGTCGGAGAAGTAAGCCCCCTGTCCTTCCCGAGGCCCTTTCTGGGGCCCTGGGGCCTGGTCCACCACCCACTCCCCAAACTCGCCCGGGGCAAGGGGCGCTGTCCCGCACAGCCGGGAATCCCAGGTGCCTCACCCACGAAGTCCGACTCCTGGACAAGCTCTTGCAGCAGAGGGAGGCTCTCCTCGAACTCCTTGGCACCCACGTCCATGGCCGCGCAGCCGCACTGAGACACCCAGCGCTGTCACGTGCTGCTCACGCGCTTCCACTGCACCGCCTGGTCTTAAAGGGCGCACGCGTAGAAAATAGGCAGCTGTCCACGCCCCACGTGCCCGGTTCCTCCGTGTGGGGCTGGCGTTGCCCACACCTGCCTGCGAGTTTTTTGATTGTACAATTTGTCACAAAGGTGAAGGTTGCTTGCAATCAAAAACTGTTTACCTGGCTCCTTAGCAATTTCTTTGCAGCCCTTAATGTGAGAATGTCATTTACATAGACCAATGTTTAAGAGGTGTGGCAGGAGGAAAAGACAGAGTCCCCAGGAAAAGAGTGAAAGCAGGAAAGCGGAACAGAAACAACCCTGCCGGAACTGCAACAAATAGATACTTCGCTTTGGCTCACGGTCTTCTAATTCACTTCTTCCCAACTTCTCCATCACTGCCAATATCGGTCTGTCCTTATGCCCTCTCCCACGGCCCTGGACATCTTTTTCCTCATTCTGCTGTCCATCTTACTACTGTCTTCACACCAGCAATCAAACTTTGCAAAGCCTCAAGAACTGCCCATTACATGGAAGGAATCCTTGGTCCCTGCGGATTATCTTGTGCACTCACTCCTTGCCCAAATCCCTACCTACAGCATCACTTACAGGTGAGCCCAGTGTTTACTTTTGTTACTGTTTCCAGTGCCACTAGTCCATGGTCTTCCTTACAGTGTCCTCCCTTGAATCCTAGGCTTCTATTTGAACATTGTTTTCTAACTATGGTTCTCAAAGTGAGGTGCTCTAATCAATCTTTAAGGTTAGGGGAGAAAACATTACATTTTTTTGTTTGTTTGTTTTTTAACTCTTTTGAGACAGAGTCTCGCTCTGTCACCCAGGCTGGAGTGCAGTGGTGACATCTTGGATCACAGCAACCTCCACTTCCTGAGTTCAAGTGATTCTCCTGCCTCAGCCTCTGGAGCAGCTGGGATTACAGGCATGCACCACCACATCCAACTCGTTTTTAGTAGACAGGCTTTCACCATGTTGGCCAGGCTGGCTGCTGCCTCTGCCTCCCAAAGTGCTGGGATTACAGGTGTGAGGCATTGCATCCAGTCTTCAATTACACTTTTAAATGCCTCCCCTGGGACATTAATTAAGCAGAAGGGGACTATTAAGCCATTCAATTCTGAAGGCCTGTCAACCAATCACACTTTTAAAAAATGGTGCATACAGATCTGTATTCTATTTAAAATAACACACTTAATACTCAAATTGGGAGAAATAACATTTCACTTCTAAGTATATAATTGGGGTATACATTTAAAAACTTAGAAAACAGTGCTCTAGAAGCTACCTTAACTGCCTACAGGTTTTTTTTCTCACATTTATCAAATAGCCAAAAATTAACACCTTAATTAGCTCCTTTCAGAGAACTGCCATAATTCCCATCTACCCAAGCTCAAATTTTAGATTAACTGACATACACTTCAAGCTTCATCTCCTTCCTAGTAAAATGTTTGCTTTATGACAAACTGAGCACCCATTACTCCATCCATTTCCATCTCTGCTTTCAGCTCTCATGGCACCTCCTTCGTCTTTCAAATTTGTTTCTCTTACCGTTGAGAACCAAGAGTCCAAGTCAGGTTGACATTTGGTCCTTTGATCTTCACATACTGACTGTTCTATAATAAACTTAGACTGATACTGACATTTCCTATTTTAGAAAACACCCCACACTCTGAGCGGCAAACAACTGTCATTCACTGAGATCCCTCGTCATGAGCCAGACGTGGTAATAAGTGGTTCACATAAACCTCATATGTGCTCTGCTGCTACGGTAAGCTCAAAGACAGAAAATGTCATATAACCTGAAAATAAGAGTTCATAATATGCCTTTATTTTGTAATTTATAAACAACTTCTGACTCGTCCTTTGAAAGTTAATTATAATTGATGACTGCTTTTCTTACATCTGTTTCAAGTCCAAGAGAGGGGCAGATTGCAGTTCTTGATTTAACAAACAGAAAGGGGAGGAGGATGACCTTAACTACAAATAATACTCCACTGTGACAATACTGCCGTAAAACTTCCATGCTGGCTGTTCTTTCACATGTTCTCTTTTGATGGCTGTAGTAGTTGATGGTTTTATATGTTCAAAACAATTAATGCTTCCATTTATTCATAGATTCTCCGAGGTTCCTGTAGAACCACACCAGCTTCTGTCATGGCACTTTGTAGTCGTTTCATCTGGGTTTGAAGATCAGTAAAAAAGGAAAAGATTAAGTCTGCACCACAAGTAGGCTGAACATACTTTCACTTTCCAAAAGACAAATACATTGATTTGTTCTTGCTACCTTTCCAGCCTACAATGGTTTCTCAGAAAGTGATCTTAATAACATAGGTAGGACAAAGGAAATGTAGAGATGTCAAGGTTCAGCAGCATTTCAAAGTATTATACGGACAAGATGTCAGCATATGAACAGGAAACACAGTGGCTGACATCATGGACTACAGAATCAGTCACCCTGGGTTTGAAATCCACCATATACTGTCTCGGGGCAAGTAAGCCTCAATGTATTCTGTACAGATTGGGAATACCAGTCCCTATCCTATGGACTGATGTGAGGATTAAATGAAGTAACACTGTTGAGGTACTCACCAAAGGGTCTGACACATGGAAAAGTACTTGGTAAATAAAAACTATTATTATGTAAGTTACCTAATGACAAGAATTAACATAATACCTTTTAAATAAGCACATGAAAACAAAAATACCGAGTCTGAAGCTGCCTCCCATGGCGTTGGTTGGTAGACCATGAAGTTGATTCCCGCCTCTAAGCATCTCTGTGCCAGCACTCGGCCTACGTTCTCACAAGCCACCACATTTCTGGTACTATAAAGGTGCTTTTTAATAGCCCATTCTCGAGTGGATGCCGAAACCACAACCTTGCCATTTTGATGCTCCACAAATGCGTCTACATGATGCTGAGTCCTTATAACTCGCAACCTAAATGGGGTGAGAAGATTAAAAGTCATAAAATAATCTGTATCTTAACGTTACATTGAGGTGAATAAATGACTAAATATTTTTCAACAATCCAGTGTTTGGTTAATTTATTTCAACATATTTAACTTGAATTTTGCTTGGCAAAAGTTTTTCCTCCGCCTTTATGAGAATATCCTCAATAATAACAACCTAAATAGTTCCACTTAACCTCAAGTATCATAAAGACATTTGTTTCTGAAGAACTGTTTTATTTACGTATCTACTACAAAAAGGGATTTGAAGAGGCAGAGCTAAGTTACTAAACATACGCATGATGTGGATATACTTACTCTTTGCTTTTATTTTATAGCTAGCACCAAAATAAATGTAAGATGGAGCAAAAATTTAAATGTAAAAACTGAAATCATAACAGTACTACAAGAAAACATGGGAATTGTTTTTATAATCTCAGGGTAAGCATATTTAAATATGACATCAAACCATGTCATATGGCTTTTATTATTATTATTTGAGATGGAGTTTCACTTGTTGCCCAGGCTGGAGTGCAATGGCGAGCGATTTTGGCTCACTGCACCCTCCACCTCCCGCGTTCGAGCGATTCTCCTGCCTCAGCCTCCCAAGAAGCTGGGATTACAGGCATGCGCCACCACACCAGCTAATTTTGTAGTATTTTTAGTAGACAGGAGTTCTCCATGTTGGTCAGGCTGGTTGCGAACTCCCAACCTCAGGAGTTCCACCTGCCTCGGCCTCCCAAAGTGTTGGGATTACAGGCGTGAGCCACTGCACCCAGCCTGGCTTTCATTATTTTTTAGAGACAGGATCTCACTCTGTCACCCAGGTTGGAGTACAGTAGTGTAACCACAGCTCACTGTAGCCTCAAACTCCTAGGCTCAAGAAACCCTCCAGCCTTAGTTTCCCAAGTTGTTGGCATTACAGGTGCATGCCACTGCACCAAGCTAATTTTAATTTTATTCTGTAGGGTCTCATCATGTTGCCCAGGCTGGTAACAAACTCCTGGCCTCAAGTGACCCTCCCTTCTCAACCTCCTAAAGCACCAGGATTATGGGCATGAGCCACTGGGCCCAGCTTCATATGGCCTTTTTTTTTTTAAGACAAGATCTGCCTCTGTCGTCCAGGGTGTAATACAGAGGCACAAATTTGACTCACTGGAGCCTCTCGCCTCCTGGGTTCAAGCCGTTCTTCCACCTCAACCTCTCAAGTAGCTGTGACTACAGGTGCATGCCACCACACCCAGCGAATTTTTATATTTTTTGTAGAGACAGGGTTTTACCATGTTTCCCAGGCTGGACTCTAACTCCTAAGCTTGAGCAGTCTGCCCACCTCAGCATCCCAAGTGCTGGGGTTACAGGCTAAGCCAGCATGCCCAGCCCTTCATATGGTATAAAAAAGAAATGATGGACACAATTTCCTGCATGGTTAAAAAAAAAGTAAAATGAAGTCAAAAGAAAAGGAATGAAACAAAAAATATTTTAGGCTGGGTATGTGACTCACGCTTATAACCCCAGCACTTTGGGAGGCTGAGGCTGGAGGACTGCTGGAGCCCAAGAGTTCAAGACCAGCCCAGAAAACATAGTGACACCGTGTCTCTACAAAAAAAAAAAAAAAAAAAAATAGAAAAAATCAGCCAGGCATGGTGGCATGCACCTGTAGTCCCAGCTATTTGGGAGGCTGAGGGGGGAAGATTGCTTGAGCCTGGGAGGCTGTAGCTGCGGTGAGCCGTGATCATGCCCTGTACTCCAGCCTGGGAGACAGAGTAGAACCCTGTCACAAAAATATAAAAATAAAACTTCAAAGGCAAAGCATTATCTGAACAGACTGTTCACAGAAAAAAATATTAATGACTCAAACTCGTACAAATATGCCCAATCTCACTAATAAAATGCATGGGCAAGACAAGTCATTGCAACACTGTAATCATAAAAGATAATCATCCACTGGGGGCCAGTTAAGTAAAATCCATGCAATAGTATTCCATATAGTTAATGAAATGAATGAAATAATGCTTTATAATGATGATGACAATAGTTAACGTTTACTGAGCACTTACTATATGCCAGGCCTGTCTTAAACTGTTAGGTTTGTAAATATAGCTTATGTCTCAATTCTATTATTTTTTCTAAAGCTGTAGAACTAACACTGAAAGGTTAAGTAACTTGAAAATGATTAGAACTAGTAAGTAATGGAGCCATGGTTTAAGTCCCAGTGGGTGGCTCCCGAGTCAATGCTCTTAACTGCCCTGAACAATCTCCAAGATGTATTTTTAAGTGGGTGGTTGAGGGTGGTGGCGAAGGAAGTTGCCAACGTGTTTATGGTATGCTAAGATTTATCATTTTTTAAAGATTTTGCTTATTTACATAGACTGTCTCTAGAAGGACACACAAGAAACTGTACTCCCTTTCAATTTTATAACATATATACATATTATACTTTAGAAAGTTAAGTTTAAGTTAAAGAAAACATACCCAAATCAGAAGAGTCTCACTAGGATTCTTAATGTGAAACAGAAAAGCCATTAGATTTAGAAATATGGATTCCACTCCTGGTTTTCCTGGTGGCTCTAGTAAAAATCACAGTCTCTTAAACCAGGAGTCAACAATCTTTTTTTACAAAGTGCCAGATAGTAAATATTTTAGGCTTTGTAGGCCATACAGTTTCTGCTGAAACTGTTCAACTCAGCCACTGTAGTGCCAGAACAGCCAGTTGATCTGTAAACAAATGAGAATGAGTACAGCTATGTTCTAAGAAAACTTTCTTTGTGGACAATTAAGTTTGATTTTCATTTAATTTTCACAAGTCACAAACTATTCTTTTAATATTTTTTAACTTAAAAAAGTAAAAACAATTTTTTAGCTCACAAGCTACCTTTGGCCCAC